TATAGGTAATATAACTTCAAAAAAAAAAAAACCCAATTATAATTTTACCAAATGGACCGATAAAAATTTATAATTTATGATGAATTTTACGTATAAATCAAATAGTAGTTCAAATAACTTAAATTAAATTTATATACATTAAATAATAGTTTCGGTAAACAACATAAAATCAATTGATATAATCTAAATTATTATAACAAATAATAAAAATTGAATTGAAATTGAATCAAAATAGTATGAACTCAAAAAAGAATTTATATATTAAAAAAATATTTTCACACATAAATATTTTCCATATGAAAAATGGAATTCTAAAGGGATTGTTTGAAATGATGACTTAATTAAGTTTTTCCTTTTCCTTTTTTGGTTGATTTATTATCACCAAGGAATCCAATGCTTTTAACTCCTTACTCCTAATACAATAATAGAGATATTTCCAAATACATATAATAATTAATTAAAAATATTATATTAATACTTAAATTATTTGTTAATCTTTTTTTTTTCTCGAATCTACAAATTTTTATACTATACCGTGTATGTAATATAATTTTAAAAGAATATAATTTGTACGTAAAAAAAAAAGTAAAAGAATTTAATTTTAAATGAGAAATATGTTGTGAAAAATAAATAGATAATCGAGAGTTTATATAGTATATAGATTTTAAAAGTTATAATTAAATTAAAATTTTTTAAAAGATAACAATTATATACATATATATATATATTTGTGGTGAATAAAAAATTAAATAATTGGTAAAAGAATTTTTCATATTTTTATATGAAGTTGATGATTGACTCAAGGGTATTATTTGATTAAAAAAGATTTAAAGGGGAAAATACTATAATTAATTAATTAATTTAATCTTGTCATGTTTAGCACTAATTATGTATCACAATGCGTTTGTCCACTCAATAAATCACCGAAATTCATTGGATTACTAATAATTAATCTTTAATGGGACCCATTTAATAAAAAAATTAATTATATAATAAAAAATTTTTAATTTCCTAAATTAAAACCAAATATTGGTAAGGAATCCTTAGCAATTAATTAATCAAATCTTCGTTTTATTCATAAAAGGAAACGAGTGCATTTTTCTCATTTACACTGCGAAACACTGTATCATTTCCCCTACATAAAGCCCCACGCGGACCAAACCCAGCCAACTCACCCATCGTCTCCACCATCTCTGTCGTCTCCTCTCTCTCTCTCTCTCCCCCTCTGCAAATCTGCAATCTCGAGAATTCACGAAAACCCACCATGTTTTGACAGACCACAACACAACTGACACAAAAAGCAGAGAGCTTTTTCTGTTCTTCTCCTAAAAAAATGGAGTTCAGACACCGAGTTATCATTCTATGTCTCTGTTTTTTGTATTTAACCGCTGTAGACTCCGATCTCGCCTCGGACAGAGCGGCACTTCTCGCTCTTCGTGCAGCAGTCGGCGGCCGGTCACGTCTCTGGAACTTGACGGCGAGTCCATGCTCGTGGTTTGGCGTGCACTGTTTTCAGGACCGAGTTGTCGAGTTGCGTCTTCCCGGAGGAGGTCTCATCGGGCAGCTTCCGATCGCCATTGGTAACCTGACTCAGCTCCAGACTTTATCTCTCCGTTTCAACGCACTTTCTGGGCAAATTCCCCCTGACTTCGCGAATCTCAACTCGCTTCGGAATCTTTATCTCCAGGGTAATGAGCTTTCTGGGCAGATTCCCGAGTTCTTATTCTCGTTACAGAACCTGATTAGACTCAATCTCGCGAAGAACAACTTCTCCGGTCCTATTCCTTCGAATGTAAACAACTTAACCCGGTTGTCTACTCTGTATCTGGAAGAGAATCAGTTAAATGGGTCGATTCCAGATATCAATCTACAGCTCGAGCAATTCAACGTATCGTTTAATCGGCTGAACGGGTCGATCCCGAAATCCTTATCGGGTCAGCCGGCGAGCGCTTTCAACGGGAATTCCCTCTGCGGAAAGCCGTTGCTAGCTTGTAATGGTACTGAGAGCGGGAAAAAGCTATCCGGCGCCGCCATTACAGGGATTGTCATTGCTTGCGTCTTCGTTTTGTTATTAATCTTAGCGATATTGATCTTTCTATGTAAAAGACGTAAAGGGAAAAGCAGTCGGTCACCGAATCTTGTCTCGACCAGTGGAGAGCAAACAGCAGCTCAAATTCCACGTTCCCCGTCGGCGGTGGAGATTCAAGACAAGAGCAGCGGGGTGACGGCTCCAGTTTCCGGGGATCAAAAGGGTAAAACGGGTTTGGTGTTTTTTGGGACCGCCCTGGGTGGGTTTGATTTGGAGGAGCTGCTGAGGGCGTCGGCGGAGGTTTTGGGGAAGGGAACGTTCGGGACGGCGTACAAGGCGACTTTTGAGGCCGGACTGGTTGTGGTGGTGAAGCGGCTGAAGGATGTGCCGGTGGCGGAGAAGGAGTTCAGAGAAAAAATGGAGGCTGTTGGAGCAATGAGACATGAAAATTTGGTTCCCTTAAGAGCTTACTACTACAGTAAAGATGAAAAGCTTCTTGTTTTTGATTACATGCCCAGAGGAAGCTTTTCTGCTCTTCTTCATGGTGAGGGATTTCTCATTTTCTCTGTTATTTTCCTTCACTTTCTTTCTCTGTTCCTGTTTGGCTTCTGGGATTTTCTATCATTGCTCTTCATGGTTATTATAGTCATGCTCACATGATAATTCATATAAAACAAAAAAAAAAAACAAAAATATGATCATTCAATCTAAAATTTCTACCATCTTTACTTCCACTTCTGTTATAATGAAAAAAAAAAAAAATCTTCCTTGAGTTAATAATAGCAAGAAACCAGTTAATTTGACAGTGGGATTCACAATTACTTACTATTATTTTACATGATTTTTTATTTGTGATATTATTATTGGATATTGTGAATCAATTTAGTAATTATTTTAATCTGCACAATCGATTATATTTATTTGTTCGAACGTAAAATAGGAAACAGGGGAGCTGGCAGGACTCCCCTGAATTGGGAAACAAGAGTGACAATTGCTCTTGGAGCTGCAAGAGCAATAACTTATATCCACTCGCAAGGCCCTACAATCTCCCATGGAAACATCAAATCATCAAACATCCTCCTCTCCGATTCCTACGAAGCCCGGGTTTCAGATTACTGCGTCGCTCAAGTTGTTATTTCCCCATCCACTCCCAACCGGGTTGATGGCTATCGTGCTCCCGAAGTTACTGATCCTCGCAAAGTATCCCAGAAAGCAGATGTTTACAGTTTCGGCGTATTGCTTCTTGAATTACTTACAGGGAAATCGCCAACACATCCTCAACTAAACGAAGATGGAGTAGACCTCCCACGATGGGTTCAATCCATTGTCGAACAAGAATGGAGCGCAGAGGTGTTTGATATTGAGCTTGTAAGATACCAAACAGTTGAAGATAACATGGTTAAGCTCTTGCAGCTTGCTATCAATTGTGCTGCTCAGTATCCTGACAAGCGCCCTTCCATGACCGAAGTTTCTAAACAGATCGAGGAACTTTGTCACGCCGCCTCGCAGAAAGACTAATCCGTATGATCTTCTATTGCAGAAGATTCAGGTTCAGAAAACCACGTTTGGCAAAGGGTTGAAATTGAAGAGATTGAAGATCTTTGATTTGGTTCGTGCTTTAGTTTTTAGCGGTTCATATTGTTTGTTTATTCATGGGGGGTTTTTTTGCCCTTTTCAAAACCCTTTTTTATTTTTTGTTATTCTTTTTTTTTATCTCCCACATTTTTTCTTTATATCTCTTTTTTTTTAAATATATATATATATATATGTTGGTAGCAACAAATTTGTTTGTCCATCTGAATTTTTTTTTTTTTTTTTTTGCAATTTTAAGAATCTGTATTATGTGAAAAACAATGTTATTATTTTTATTTGATTGTGTGAAGTGTGAATAATTAGTTTGGATAATGATTTTCTTTTTTAATTATAGTTTGGTACGATATATATATATATATATATATTTTTGAAAAAATTATAATTTAGTATTATATGAAAAATTTATATTTAAATAAAATAAATTTAGCATGAAATTTCATATTGACATGTATAAATTTTTGTTTAAAATAAAAGTCATAATTTCCAATTTTATTCAAATTAATTTCCACCATTAACAACATATTTAATATTGTTCAAAAAATATTCAATGAAACAATGTCAATATAGTACTTATAACATTATCTTTTAGGGACGATTTTCTTTTTTTTTTTTTAATGATTATTTTTAAAATTATTATATTTACGATTGGCGTAATTTACAATATAAATATTCGTTAAATACATCTTTAATAATATAGATTAATTTTAAAAAAATTTTAAAAATATATGGGGCATTTGAAACAAAAATCACTGCATGAATCAATATAATTTTTTTTTTTTAAATGCCAAATGGGTCTAGTGTAGTAATTAAATATTGAATTAAAAAAAAAAAAGAAAAACAGAGAGGAGAAGATGGGGAAGAGAAGGTTCAAGAGAGAGAGAGAAGCTCGAGCGAGAAGGAATGAGAAGAGAGAGCAGGAGAAGGAAGACGGTGACGGTGCGAGCTACGGAAATGCAGAAAGAAAAGATGGAGATTGGAGATACGGTAAAATTTAAGTTTCAAGCATAGGATAAGAATGAATGTGGAGTTGTGACCGTAGGTTTTGAGTAAATATATGAATCGCTTAGGTTTAATTGTAGTTAATGTAGCACCCGGAAAGGAGGAGGAAAAAAAAAAAAAAAAAAAAAAAAAAAAAAAAAAAGGGGGGGCCACGTCAGCAGCCGCGTCAGCAGCCACGTCAGCAGTCCCGGCCAACCAGGGCCTGCCACGTGGCAAGATCGCGTCACTCCGAAAGGAGCCACGTTGGCGATCCGCGTGGGTGCGATCCGACGGCCCAGATCAATCACGCGATCGGACGGCCCAGATTCAATCGCACGGACGGCCCAGATTCAATCAAAAACGAACGGCCCAGATTAAAACAAAATGAACGGCTGTGATCAAAAGGCAAGGGGTTATAAATAGAACCCCCACACCAGACCACAAACCCTAGCCGCCAGCCGCTCGCCGGAGAAGACGAACCAGAGGCCGACCGCCGCCACCCGCCGCCGCTCGCTGCCGCACCGGGGAAATTTCCGACCGCCGATCGAGGTAAATTTCATACCCCCGACTCGTTTTTCCCCACTGATTCCTCCTATGGCCAAATCGAAGCCGAAATCCCGGCCAAACGGCCGGAATACGCGGCCGAAGCCCAGCGGCGCCGCCGCGCCCCCTCTCGGTTTTTGCCTCCGACGAGGCCCTTCCCGGCCTCCGTTCGATGCAATTTTTATATCACCGTGATCACCATTCTTTTCTCTACAGGTTGACCGGAGCCGAATCACCAAAACACGAACCTCGCCGGAGAGCCGCTGCACCCGAGAGCGCCGCCACCGGTAAGCTCCATTTTTCCGTGATTTTTTGGCCCCCGAGGGCCCTAGGGTTGTTTTCTGACAAGGACCAATGCGAGTGTGGCCGAATTCGGCCGGAAACGGCCGAAAACAGTCAACCCGAGGTGACTCGCCGCCGCCAGCGGCGGCGCCGTCGCCGGAGCACGGCGGAGCCGCCGTGCCGGAGTTGCGATTTGGGCCGAAAGAGGCCCTGGGCTTAATTTGGAATTTTTTTGGAACACGTGCAGGTACTGTTAGTGTGTTTCAGTTCTCCGAGAAAAATTCAGGGAAAATTAGGGACAGCCTGCAGGCGCACTGTGAATCGTATTCGGATCTCGAAAACAAGTAAGGACCCCTCACCCTATTTCCTATCACGGTATTAAAGTTCAAAATGATAAAACGGTATTTCTTGAATTAACGCATGTGTGAAATTGCTTAAGGTTGCTAATGGAGCCCGAGTCTAGTGTGATTGATGATTTACTGTTATTTGGCCTGTTTTACAGCTTTAAATGCATTATGGGGTTTGATGTGTTCATTTTACAGATTTGTGTGCATATATTACTGTTTTATTAATTATGGGTTGAATGACTGAAGAACTGATATTGTATGTTGTCTGTTGATATGAATTTCGATTTGCTTGTTTAAATGTGAATTGATGATGCTTATTGAGGAAAAAGGGAAATGAAACATTTATAGACTGATAATTGTATGATGGGGTCAGCCTGACTAGATATCCTGGGAGATGGTGGACGGACCGGGTCCGTAGGGAACCCTACCGGGATTGTGGTCTCACATGCCGGACGGGGTATGGAGATCTTATGGTTTTGGCGCCCATACCGGACGGGGTATGGGGACGGCCCGTTTCACCCTCATACCGGACGGGGTATTGAGGTTCATGGTTTTGGCGCCCATACCGGACGGGGTATGGGGACGGCCCTGGAAACTGATTATGAATGTTAAAGATTAACGGGTAGCGGAACCCCTATGGACCCCCACGGATACTAGTAGGCTGGTAAATGAGAAAAAAAAGATATGTTGTACAATGATTGAATTACAAGAGGCGTGATAAGTGTTATGTTTTACAGCTTATATTATTCAATGATTATGATAATGTTATTGTTTTTCTTATATAGTTTTCATAAATCCCACCAAGGTAAGTGGATGGTAAAGGTTTTCATGTTAAAAAAAAACGAGTTTGTTGTAAATTATGCTCCATTGGTCTTTTTGAGTTTTTCTACCCACCTTTATCTCCGTGACGGTGAGATATCGTGATGTTCTTACTGGGCTAGTGTAGCTCACTCCTTAATTAACCATTTCAGATCAGGAAGACATGGTTCCCGAGCCCGTTCCGCAGGAGGACGACGAAGGGGATGCCTAGAGACTCTGTAGTCATACGCATAGTTTTATTTTCGAGTTTCTTTCTTAGTTAGTTTAATCTTTTATATTTTAAGTACGTTTTTTTGGTTTTTCGTGTAAGGGATGTTAACTAAAATTTTGATCTCGCTTCCGCATTCGATATATTTAAATACTCATTTCTTTTTAATATTTCCGGGGCCGTTACAGTTAAAATTAATTAATAAATATAATTTTCTAATTTTTTAATTTTTATCTAAGATAAAAATGAAGAAAATTAAATGAATGATGAAATTGAAAATAATTTTGGAAAAAAGATGTAAAAATTTGGGTTTTGATGGTGTTTTTTTAAAAAAAATCAGAAACTGGAGTTAAAATATAATTAAAAAAATTGTGCCACGTATGACGCCCAGTCAGCAGTCCCGACAATATAATTTAAAAAAAATTGTGCCATGTATGACGCCCAGTCAGCAGCCCCGACGAACTGGTGCGCGTTGCATGGCAAGCCGCGATGATGCGGTGCCACGCAGAGGCCACAATGGCGATTTGCATGCCCGTGATTGGATGGTTCAGATTCATTTCTGCGCATACGGACGACCCAGATCCGTTCCCTCCCCAGATGCGATCAGACGGTCAGATTTAAATGCGATGAACGGTTCAGATCTATTTCTTATTTAAACGCGATCGAACAGTCCAGATCAGATCGCGATAAACGATCCAAATTCACTCATTATTTAATCGCGATCTGACGGTCCAAATCAAACATGATGGACGGTCCAGATTAAAAGAGAACGTATATAAATAACTCTCTTCACACCAAACCCTAACTCTAGCCGCGGACCCACCTCCCCCCCCTCCCGCCCCACCCCGCCGGAGAAGAAGACCTAGCTGCCGGGAAGGAAGCCGCCACCACTGCTGTCGCGGCGCCGGAGCCACTTTCGATTTCCAAAAGAGGTAAAAAAAAATTCTTTAATTGAAATTCGATTTTAAACACCTCCATAACCAAATCACCGTTTCCATTTTTATAGGTTGACCGAAGTAAAACACTCAATTGCGAGGTAAGCCAGTGGAGCCGTCGTACCGGAGAACCCCACTGCCGGTAAGTTTCGATTTTTTGACCAACCGAACTCCCTTAACGTATTTTCTCGCATGGATTGGTACAAAACCGGCTGAATTCGATCAAAAACGGTTAAAAATAGCCAATCCGAGGCAAACTACCGCCGCAAGCGGCGGTGCTGACGCCAGAGCACGGCGGCGCTGCCGTGTCGGAATCCCGAAATTGGCTAAAAAGGGTTTCGAACACTGATTTTTTATTTTTTGAAATATTTCTAGATACTTGAAGCGCGTTTTAATCCGTAAAAGAAAATTCAGGATACTCGATAACCGCTTGTAGGCGCAGTCAATAGTTTAGCATTTTGGATATTATTTTGAGTAAGAATCTCTCATTTTATTCCTTGTTATGGAATTGAAGTATAATTTTAAATAATATATTATTTTGTAAAACTCAAAATATTCATAATTAATTATAGGTTACTAATAGAGGCGGAACCGGTTCTTTACTGTTGTTTGTTATGTTTAACCGATTGCCTGATTTTACAGTTTTCGAATGCATTATAATACATTGAAATTAATATGATGATGCAATTGTATTCTTTTGATGCATGTTTTGCATGTTTTGTGTTACTACGTTGAATTGGAAAACTGAAAATTAAAAAAAAAAAAAGGAAATGGTTTATTTAAATGGATGGATGAAATGACAGCCTTACTGGATATTCTAAGAGATGGTGGACGGACCGGGTACATGAGGAACACTACCGTGAACGTTGCCTCATACCGGACAGGATATCGAGATTTGGTAATTTGGTGCTCATACTGGACGACGTATGGGGACGACTCATTTCACTCTCATATCAGACGGAGTATTGAGGGTTGGTATTTTTTCGCTCTCATACCGGACGGGGTATGGGAACAAGTCGTTAATTGTAAAATGTAAAAAGAGGATTC